CGTGGACCAGGCGCGTCCCCCTACAGTCGGACTTTGGACGAAAAATGAGAATTCACAAAAATACGCAAACACCGTCAGAAATAGTCCAAAGCAAAAAAACGTTCCCCCACGATTTCTTTAACTATTTTTGAATATTCCCCCTGCACAGGGACAGGCCCGACTTAAACAAAAGATTCATCATCTTGCACAGTTGTGTTCTAGAGCTCGGACCTCTTTATTTTCGTGGTTCGTCGTCGTCCCCCTGGCTCTGGCTTCCGATCCTCGTCGTCGTCTCCCCCATCCCCTGGCCTCCGCGCCCCAGCCCGGACCTCTGGCTCCTGGTTCGAGCCCCAGTCCTCCTGCCCTGGCCCTGAACCCAGCCTCCCACCCTGGCTCTGGCGTCCCCTGGCCCTGGCCCCAGCCCCCCTCGCCCCAGACTCTTTATTTTCGTCGTTCGTCGTCGTCCCCCTGGCTCTGGCCTGCTTCCCCTGGCCCCCTCGCCCTGGCACTGAACCCAGCCTCCCTCCTTGGCTCTGGCGCCCCCCCCTCGCCCCACACCCTGTATTTTCGTGGTTCGTCGTCGTCCCCCTGGCTCTGGCCTGCTTCCACTGGCCCCCTCGCCCCCGTCCTCCTGCCCTGGCCCTGAACCCAGCCTCCCTCCTTGACTCTGGCGTCCCCTGGCCCTGGCCCCAGCCCCCCTCGCCCCAGATCCTTTATTTTCGTCGTTCGTTTTCGTCCCCCTGGCTCTGGCCGGCTTCCCCTGGCCCCCTCGCCCCCGTCCTCCTGCCCTGGATTTGGTCCCAGCCTCCCTCCTTGGCTCTGGCGCTCCCCCTCGCCCCAAACTTGTTTTATTTTCGTGGTTCGTTGTCGTCCCCCTGGCTGTGGCCTGCTTCCCCTGGCCCCCTCGCCCCCGCCCTCCTGCCCTGGCCCTGAACCCAATCTCCCTCCTTGGCTCTGGCGCCCCCTGGCCCTGGCCCCAGCCTTGCTCGCCCCGGCCCTTTTATTTTCGTGGTTCGTGATTCGTGGTCGTCCCCCTGGCTCTGGCCCGCTTCCCCTCGACCCCGTCCCCCTGGCTGTGGCCCGCCCCCCCTCGCCCCCTCGTCCCAACCTGGACCTCTGGCCTCTGGTCCGAGCCCCAGCCCTCTGGCCCTGGCTGAACTCAACTTGTTTCCTAGCCTGGGCCCCACTCGCCCCGACCCTGGCCTTCGTCCCAGCCATCCTCGCCCCGGACCGTGTATTTTCGTGGTTCGAGCCCGGACCTCTGGCCCCTGGTCCGAGCTTCAGTCCCCCTGCCCTGGCCCTGGACCCCCACTCGCCCCGACCCTGGCCCTGGCCCCAGCCGCCCTCGTCCCGGACCCTTTATGTTCGTGGTTCTGTCACCCTGGCTCTGGCCCCCCATCCCCTGGCCCTCTCGCCCCCCGCATGCCCCTCCCCCTCTCTCTCCTCAAATGTACAAGAACCGGGGCACGCGTGCCACTTGTATCGTGCACGTGCGGAGGAGGAGGAGGAGGAGGAGGAGGAGGAGGAGGAGGAGGAGGAGGAGGAGGAGGAGGAGGAGGAGGAGGAGGTCCACGGCCTCTCGGCCATCGGCCACGTCGATCGCGACGGCGCTGCCGCCAGCGTCAGCGTCAGGGGAGGAGGAGGAGGAGGAGAGGGAGGAGAAGGAGGAGGAGGAGGAGGAGGAGGAGGAGGAGCAGGAGAAGGAGGAGGAGGAAAAAGGGGAGAAAACAAAATAGGAAAAAGAGGAGGAGGGAGGGAGGGAGGGGATGTCATCAAGGAGGCCCTGGCGGCCGTCAGCGCGCTGACAACCACCAGGGCCCCGATGTCAAGAAGAGAGTCCTCGCAGCCGCGCACGCGCGACCGCGGACGCCGCGGTCGCACGAGGGAAGGAACCCGAAGAAGCCCAGACAGGCACCCGTCACGACCCTGGCCTGCCCCGCGGGTAAGCCAGGGGAGCGGAAGCCACCCCCGCGGGGACGGACGTGCGACCAACGGCCTCCAGAGGCCGCCCCCAGGGGAGGACACAGGCACGCGCAGCCAAAATTTCGACTTGGACCCAGCAGGACAGAGCGAGGGCCTTCACCTCAACGCCTCTACGACCTTGTCGGTCTCGACGCCCGCCAGACGAGGCGCCAGCAAGCGCCACTTTCTCCGCCAGGTCGAAAGCCTGCTGGCAGTCCGCGGCGGCGTCACCTCTTCACCTCGTCTAGCTTCCGCTCGGCGTCGGCGAGCGCCACTCGGAGGCTCATCTTCTCATGCTCCGCCTCCGATTCCTTGGACTCCAGCTCCACGACCTGCTGCGCCAGGTGCTCGCTGCCCCTGGTCGCCGAAGTAAGCGCCGCCCTCACGGCCTCAAGCTCGGCTTCGAGCCCTGCGACAATGCCGTTGACCTCGGAGGCAGCGGATTCCGCCGCGGCTCTGGCTGCCGTCTCGGCCGCAAGCCCCGCCTTCAGATCCGAGATCTCACAGTGCATCTCCTTGATGGTCGCCTCGTTCCGCAGGAACTTGCCGCCATCGATGTCCTTGCACTGGGACTGCGCGCTCTCGGTGCCCATCCCCATGCGCTGCGAGCCACCCGTCGAGTCCGTCTGGTCCGAGATGTCCGCCTGCTCGGACACGTCCGCCGTCTCGATGGAGTCCACGTCAGCGCGCCGGCGTCTGCGGCCTCGTTGCCGCCGCCTCTTCTCCATGGGGGGCAGGCCGAGAAACCCCGGAGGAGGCGGAAGAAGAAGAGGAGGGAGGGGAGGGGGAGGGTTGGAACGCAAAGGAGAACGAGGAGGAGGAGGAGGACGAGGAGGAGGGGGAAGAAGGAAGAAGAGGAGGACCTCCATCTCCTCTCGTTGAGAAAACAACGACGGGAAGCATGTCGTCATACATTTCTGCTTCCGGGGGCCCTCCTCGGACCCCGAGACCGTCAAACAAAACGGCTCTTGGCTCCAGGGGTCCACGCTGTGAAGAAAAACAATGCGTTGGAGTTCTGGGGAGGGGAGGGCCCCCACCACTCCCTTTCCTCCTCCGCCATCCCTCTGTCATATCAGCGCCCCACTCCCTGCTGCATCACCGAGCGTGTCTTCAGGCTGGGCCGGGCGGTTCGCGCGAGGCGTCCTCATGCTTTGCTGTCTCGGAGCTCGTAGAGTCTACCAGTCAAACAGTTACAGGGCTGGTGTCTTTCACAAGCCTGAGCACCCGACATTCGGCATCCCAGGTTTCTCTTCCATAAAGGTCTCGACCTACTCCCAGGGTTAGGTCGGGCATGTCCCGCTGAAGGCAGATCTTGGACGCAAAATCAAAGCATAAAAAAGCGTTCGTGCAAAATAAAGAAATAATCGGAAAGTCGTCCCTAAACGACTTCTCATTAGTTTTGAAAAGTCCTTCTGTAGAGGGGCATGCCAAACTTGATCCTAGGGACGAGCTTCTCATCCCGAGTCGTTCTTCGACGGGCCCGGGGCCCAGAGAGGGCCCCCGCCCCCGCCCATATTTGGTTCACGACGCCAGCGCGTCCTTTACTCTCCTCGGGGCCGCAGAGAAGGACGAGCAGGATGTACGCACAGGAAGGACGAGGGTGGAGCAGGAGGGAGGAGGAGGAGGAGGAGGAGGAGGAGGAGGAAGAGGAGGAGGAGGAGGAGGAGGAGGAGGAGGAGGCCCAGCGTCGATGTCAGGAGGAGGAGCAGGGAGGAGGGAGGAGGGTGGCAGGAGGAGGCTGGCAGGAGAAGGGAGGGAGCAGCAGGGAGGAGGGAGGAGCGGGGAGCAGGAGGGGACAGACGATCTCAGGGGAGAAGACGTGCAGGAAACCATGGCTGCGGCAGGTCCGTGGCGAACCGACTTAGGCGCTGGCCTGTGACACCGCGGGGATCGTTCCACCTCGAACGGTCGGCCGTTCCCGACACGTCAGATCGTTCAACGTCGACCGATTCCGGGTCGCCAGCGGCGGTCAACGTTGAGAGCTGGCGGCGGGCTTCGCCGCCGGTCGGCACGACGCGAACCCACCGTCTGTGTATGAACTCCGCTGCCCTTGCCCGGGGGCGATCCCGAGATCGGACAGCGAGGCCAACCGTGGGCGACCCAGGAATGGCTGCCCGCACGCCTGGCGGGAGGAAGAAGCGGGGCAGAGGCTGCTAGGAAAGGCCTGGACTCAGGACACCACATCAAGGGATGTGTCGGCCCCTATCCCAGGCCTGGTGGGGTTTCCGAATGGACCAACAATTTTGGCCCAACTCTGGGATGCACCATGGGGGGGCGTCCATCCTCGATAGAGGTGCGTCCGAATAGCCCTCTTTGGGTGGATCCCAAGGTTTCCCCTATTTTCTGAGCTGCTTCAGTTTTGTATCGAAAAGCTGGGGGCTGGGGGAGAAACATCGCCTGCGACACCACGCCCCTGCCATGAAAGTGACAGCTTCGAGTATCTCTGCGGACAAGCTGCTGCAACCTAGCCTTGGCCTGCGTCTAAAGCCAGATTGGAGTGATAGAATAAGTTTTGAGACATGGTCGGCATCCCGACAATCACATGTTTACAGATCAGGCATTGCTACAGCTTGTCGGCCACGCGGCCTGGAAAGAGATCAACAAAATCTGTACCCCGATCCACAGACAGACCACACACGCTATCGCCCCTCCTGCACATATCAACAGGCTGTACGCTGGCACGAGCGGGGTTGCTCGATCTGGGATGCCATCCACAACATACGGAGGCCAGAGCCTCACGAGGACGTCAATGGGTTCGAAAAGCTAAAGCCGATCAAGGAGATCCAGAGCGGAGGAAGAGGCGAGAGGGAGACAGCGCACACGCTAGACTCTTGCCCTGGAGAGGGGAGTGGGAAAACAAACATTCACCCACACTGTTACTCCAAGGGTCTCTCCTGGGGTGCGTTCTGACCAGTTGTTCAAGGCCAGCCCAAACATGACAACACAAGACAACTTCCTCCTCTGACAGAAGAAGGAGGAGGAGGAGGAGGAGAAGAAAAAGGAGGAGGAGGAAGAGGAGGAGAGTGAGCGCAAGGGCGGGGAACCTCCGGCGCGCCCCTGACTTTTCCGGGGCCGTCTAGAGAGCTCCAGGCACCAACGGCGCAGGCCTCCTCTCACGACAACGCACGGGCGCCCGCGGAGCCGGCCGCTGAGGGGCTCTCGGGCGCCGCGGCCCGCCCGAAGGCGCCCCGTCACGGCCTGGGCTCCTGGCTCGGGGGCCTGCTGCGCCGCAGCATGGAGGCGCCCCCGTCGCTGCGCACGCGCCGGTGGCCGAAGCGTCGCTCCGCCGACGCCGTGCGCCTGGCGGCGGCCGCGGCGGCACGGCGGCGACTGCCACGGCGGCGGCGGCTGCGGCGGCGGCGGCAACGGCGGAGGCGGCGACGACGGTGGAGGCGGAGACGACGACTGCGGCAAGTGTGGCGATGATGGCGGCGACCACCGAAGCCTCTACGTCCTCCTCCTCCTCCTCCTCCTCCTCCTCCTCCTCCTCCTCCTACCTCCTCCTCCTCCTCCTCCTCCTCCTCCTCCTCCTCTTCCTCTCCCCCCCCCCGTTCCTCCTCCTCCTCCTCCTCCTCTTCCTCCTCCCCCCCTCCCCTCCTCCTTCTCCCCTCCTCCTCCTCCTCCTCCTCCTCCTCCTCCTCCTCCTCCTCCTCCTCCTCCTCCTCCTCCTCATCCCCAAGAATGTGTGATTCTCGGTGCCTGGAAGTCCTCACCAGACCCCCAGACCGTGATCGAAACAGCTCAGAATTGAACAGCGTGCCGCGGAGAAAGGGTCAGCACTTAGAAAGGGTCAGCACTTCTGGGGGGCCAGGTTTGCAAAAAAACGCAAACATCGGAAGTGTCGGCACGGCGGCGGCAGCGACGGCAGCGACAAAGCCTCGGCACATCGGCAGGCGGGCGCGAGGGGGCAGTAGATGCGGTGTCCACCCTGAACTCATTCTGCTTGATATTGTCGTAGATCTGCGACAAGAAATCGCCCGGGAAGTTGGAGCCGTCGTTCTGCTCGCGGAGCTGCGCGAGGAACTCGTGCTTCTGCATCTTCTTCTCTTTCTTGATCTTGACAGAGTGCAGATTTGTGGTCAGCATGATGATGGCAAACGATAAAATCATCACCGCGTCCTCCGTCCGGAAGGGGCTGGCGCGCTCCCACAGCAAACTGTCCTTTGGCACCGTCACGTCGACATAACGTCCCCCGACCTTCAGGTCGAAGTCGAGGTTGACGTCCCTGGGAAGCTTCTGGGACTCCCGGATTGCAGCGGCGCATGCGCGGCCGAAGCATGACCAGCCCTTGTCGACGTGCCCCTGGCGAGAGGCAGTCATGTGACACCTCCTGCAGAAGCTTATCAGCCTGCAGCCCTCGCAGACCAGCACCTCCTGCCCTTCCTGGTCGCCGAGGACGCCGCAATGGATGCAGCAGGGCTGGCCACTGGAAGCAGTCTTTCAACCTGCGTGTCTGACCATGGACCCCCCTGTGGCCCATCGGCCTCGGGCGGTCTTCGGCGGTCTTCCGACGGTCTTCGGCGGTTTCTGCAGGTATTCGGCGCCTTCCTTCGGTCTTCGGCGCGAAGGCTGGGCGGCTGCGTTGGATCAAACACCTGATTCGAATCATTCGCGATAGCACCTGTTATCAGGGCCGCACCCCCCGCCATCCCCCCCTCCCTGGCAACGCCACGATCCGCGGCAACGCCGTCATCACTGGAACGGTTAAGGGTGACGCTACTGGTCCCCAGTCCTCGCTCTCCCCCCCGTGACCCGTGATCCCAAGAGATCCGATGTAGTGACTCTTGTCGCAACATGGTCCTCTGGACAACTGGACCTCTCACAAGCACCGGCTTGTTGCACAACCATCCTGCGGGTCCTCGTTTTGAATGGATGGCGCCCCGCGTCTTCCTCCTCTCCTCCGCTCCTCCTCCTCCTCCTCCTCCGCCTCCTCACCCTCCTCCCATCCCTGCCTCTGCCCTCCGCATGTCCATGCCGGCGCACCCCTCACACGATTCGTGGCCGCCCTAGGGAGCTCCAACGACGGCCCCAATGACAGGGTTCGCATGTGGCCTCCCGCCCATTTGGGTGCACCCCTCACACGCTTCGTGGTCCCACGGGGAGCTCCACCGAAGGCCTCAGTGGCAAGGCTCGCTTGCGGTTTCCCGCCCATGTCGGCCTCTGTGGCAAGGTTCGCATGCGGTTCCCCGCCCACGTCGGTACAACCCTCACACGCTTCGTGGCCACAAAGAAAGCCCCCCCGAAGGCCCCAGTGTCAGGGTCTGCATGCGGTTCCCCGCTCACACGCATCGTGGCCCCATAGACAGCTCCACCGAAGGCCTCGGTGACAGGGCTTGCGTGCGGACACCCCCACACGTTCGTGGCCTCACAGATAGCTCCTCCCAAGGCCCCAGCGACAGGGATCGCATGCGGTTCCCCGCCCACATCGGCATAACCCTCACGCGCTGCGTGGCCGCCCCGGGGAGCTCCCCCGAAGGCCTCGGTGCCAGCGTCGCAAGCGGTTCCCCGCCCATGTTGGCACATCCCTCGCACGCTTCGCAATCCACCGAAAGCATTAGTGGCAGGGCTCGCACGCGGTTCCCCGCCCATTTCGGCACACGCCTCACACGCTTCGTGGCCCCATAGGGAGCTCAACCGAAGACGAACAGGGCCCGTCGCCCAGACTACTCATTGTCCTGGGGCTCAGGGAGCAGCCCATAAAGCCGAGACTCCCAAAATCCTCTGGCCGCAATTGCTTCACGACGCGAGGATGTTGTTGAACGCCTGCTGTCGCCAGGGGGCGATCCCGTTGTCGACAAGGAGAACAAGAAGAACAAGTATAAAGGGGCCCTGGGACACACACGTAAATGTAGACACGTGGCAGACTTCCCCACACTTCCCCATGTTCTCCAGGTGTTTGCCTTCCCCCACTCCCCATACATGCTCCCGCCTAAACACAGCTAAAAACACAAGAGAGACGAGTCGACACAACACACACACACACACACACAAACTTCACGACGCCCGCACGGATGTCTCGGCTCGGCGCTGGGCCTCCCCATGGTGGCGCCTCTGCCGCCCCCCCCCCCCCCCTGGCGCGCCGCGCGCTGGGCACGAGGGGAGCACCGACCCGGGAAAGCCGCGCGGGCCTCCGAACGTCAGTGCCAGGGCGGAACCTAAGCGGTGTTTTTCGTTGTCGTTTTGTTTTCGTTTTCCCTCGCGTTCGTCTCGAATCTGCCTTTACCGCAAAAGGAAGTCGAAACGCAAACGGCCCACGAATTCGCCACAAAAACCTGTTAGGTCCAGCCCTGGTCACTGCTCATGCACTACGTAGAAAGATCAGCTCCTGTTGGACAGCGGCTGCTCCACGTACCAGCCCACCGCGGCCTCTTCGAAGGGGCGACCTGACAGCCCTGGCTCTGGCAGCGCTGGGTTGAGCCGGAAGAAAGCGCGCGCGAAGCCAGTTAGGATGCGGCGGGTGCGCCAAAGAGGGGAGCCAGTAACCCTGACGACATCCTCGCGTCGTGGAGAAACTCACGACTGAGGGGGTTTGGCAGCTTTGCCTCCGGGGGCCTCCACAGGGCTCTGAGACTGTCGGAACACGACTCGGGATAAAACGTCGGCCCCTGGGAAGAGAAGGTCAATACCTCTGGGGAGCCAGGTTGCGAAAAAAACGCGACGTCGGACGACTACTGGAGAGGGGGCCCAGGAAGAGGGGTATTGGCGCATCATGGCCAAAGGCATGCCGGCGGACAAGGGAGGAGGGAGGCCAGGGAGCGTGCTTGAAGCACAAGGGGGCCATGACATCTCTGAGGACTTCATGCCCTCCAGAAACGATATCCACACACACACACACACACCCTAGTCCCAAAGATCCCATGTCTTGACTGTTTTCAATACGGGGTCCCCAGCTCGACCCCTTCCCGGGGACAGGCTTCTCATCCCTGGTCTGAGGTCGGGCATGTCCCCCTGCAGGCGGATTTTGGGAGAACCCCTAAAAATGTAAAACATGCCTCAAAATAGTCGAACAAATAATCAGAAAATCCTCCCCAGCCTATTCTTCTACTATTTTTGAATTTTCCTCCTGTAGAGGGACAGGCCCGACCGAACCCTAGTCGTTTCTGCGCCGACCCCGGAGCCCGGCGAGGGCCACCAGAGCCTCCGAAGACTGCGAGGGACTCCAGCCTTTCTATTTCCGATACGCTGGTGGCCTGCGGGCAGCAGCCCGGACCTCCGGCAGCCGTTCGAGTCGATCATGTCGCCCTATAGGAAAGCTCTCGACGAGGCGCAGCTCCTATGAAACGCATGCCGAGGCGGCAAAACCTCCAGAATGAACGACGTCTTCCTCCCCCGCCGCCCCGTTCGACGACGAGAAAGTCCTCACCTGTCGGGCGCCCAGAGGTCTGGACACCCTTCCTTGCGACGAATGTTCGATTCATCCCGAGTGACTGTTTGATGGCATGGCCCCGCGGCCTTGTGAGAGCCCGGGAAAGCAAGACTTGCCAGACAACTTCCGCCTGCATCCTTTCACGGCGCGAGCCGTCGGGGCATCCCCGGGTCCTCGCCCCCCGCCTTGGGCGCCCCGGAATGCGGTCGATCTGGGCGGACTCCCCCGGCAGCCGGAAGCGCCGCAGGTACGCGCGGAGGGCGGGCACGAGGTCCAGCCCGGAGAGCGCGAAGTTGCAGGGGTACTGCTCGCACAGCTGGACCCCTGCCCCGGGGAGGTGCTGTTTCTCCAAGCACGTGCTGGCACGGACCGGGGATCCGCGGGTCTGCGCGTGCGCGCCAGGTGCACGGATCCGGGAACGCAGCCCCCGAGGCATGTCGCCAGCGCAATGTGGTATGGAAGCGGGGCCCGTCCCAAATCTTCGCGCATCAATCCATGCTTGCGATTCCGCGACACTCTTGTGGCAAACGACCGTGGAGCTTAGGAATATTGCTCGCGAGGACCGTACGAAGTTAGAAAAACTGCAAAATAGCCACACACACACACACCCCTCTCTCATCACCATCACCATCACCATCACCATCACCATCACCATCACCATCACCATCACCATCACCATCACCATCATCATCATCATCATCATCATCATCATCATCATCATCATCATCATCATCATCATCGTCATCATCATCATCATCATAATCATCAGCATCATCATCATTATCGCCATCATCATCATCAGCATCATCATCTTCATCATCATCGTCATCATCAGCATCACCATCGTCACCATCGTGATCATCACCATCATCATCAGCATCATAATCATCATCACCATCATCATCATCACCATCATCACCATCGTGATCATCATCATCATCAGCATCATCTGCATCATAATCGGCATCATCACCATCAACATGATCGTTAGCATCATCATCATCGTCGTCATCATCATCATCACCATCACCATCATCACCATCACCATCATCATCATCACCATCATCATCAGCATCATCATCATCAGCATCATCATCATCATCGTCATCAGCATGATCAGCAGCATCATCATCATAATCAATATCAGCATCATGTACTCATCATCACCACCATCATCATCGTCTCATCCTCATCTTCATCACAATCATCGCCAACGTCCGCATCATCAGCATCATCATCAGCAGCATCATCATCAGCAGCAGCATCACCCTCCTAGTCATAGTCGTCCCCCCCCCAGAGCCGAAGGGTCTGTGGTCGCCCAGGCACTGGCCGAGCAGGTCCACGGACACGCGGTCGCCCGCGCTGTACAGCAGCCTGGCCGCGTCCGACGCGGAGAGCCCGGCGGCCTCGGCGTTCCTCTGCACGTCCTTCCCGGCTGCGCCGAAAAATGGGGAGGAGGAGGAGGAGGAGGAGGAAGAAGAGGAGGACGAGGAGGAGAAGGGGTTGGAGGAGGAGAAGGAGAGGAGGAGGAGGAGGAGGAGGAGGAGGAGGAGGAGGAGGAGGAGGAGGAGGAGGAGAAGGAAGAGGAGGAGGAGGAGGAGCGCCAGTAGATTCCAGATGTCTTTGATCCTCATGCCCGCCAACCGTAGGGCTGGCTCGCATTCGGCCCAGGCGGCAGGAGACTAAACTCAGGCATCTTGTCCCGACGGTGAGTAGTACCTTTAGTTGTTGGTGTACAGCAATGGCTGAGCCACCTTGCCTACGCGCCCAATCCTTAGAGATATGGTCAATGAAGAAAGAGAAAGCGGTGGCAAGGAAGGCATTCTCACGTGTCAGATCACACGCAAGATATTGGGACGGCAACCCGAGACCAAGGCGGAAAAGAGGACAGTGGGGGAAGACACTGCGAGGACGACAGACGAGGAGGACAATACGGGGACAACGGAGGTAGTGGGCGATCTGATCGGGTCGGTCGCATCCAAAAATGCAGCTACAGCATTTTCCAGAGGCGTGCATTCTGTCAGTGGTGGTCCAACCTCCCGCGATCGTCTTCATGTACTGCCAGCGAAGAGCCGGAGGAGCACGGCGCATATTCTCCCGAGCCGAACCTCAACGCAGACAAAGGTGAAGAGCGGGAAGGATCCTGAACAACGACCTTAGTCGCCTAGCAATGAGATGCTCGACCTGATCTGGATGAACCTCAAGGCTCATCGTCTGCAGAAAAAATCCTTGAGTTTGGGGACGCTGGGCATTGGCCACAGCCTCCTCTCTGGCCTCTGCAGCACGGGTCGCAGCAACTTGAAGCTGAGCGGTGGTGAGCGGAATCGCACGGGAGGGCCGCTCCATCAGGAGCGCGTAGAACTGAGCGGTGCTCTGTTTCATCTGCAAATACGGCGTGCAAAACTCCCGTTGGAGTACTCCGAGCAAGGAGATGTGATCCACGCGGCTTGCCAGGGCATCGCCAACCTCTTGCAGACGGGTCAACCGCCCTGGCCAGACATGCGAGAGTGACGTTAGCCGTGCGCCAGGCACACGCAAGGGCCGTGGCCGCCAGTGAAGCAAGGGCGGGAGAGGGGGGCAAAGTGGACAGGGGAAGGAACTCGGGGAGAGCGAAGGAGTCAAGTGGGAGAGGAAGGCACGTATGGATGCCCTAAAGCTCCCTCTTCAGAATGATCCTCGGGAAGCGATAAAACTGGCAGGCAGATTTATGACATGCGCGAGGCGATTGACGAGTTGCATTGTCGGGCGCCTGTGTCAGCTGAACTCGCGAAAATACTTGACTCCATACAGCGAGCGACGTACTTCTGACAGGGGCAGTCCCAGATGCTATCGGGCGTTGCCATTGGTCCAATGAGGGCCCCCTAGAACGGAGCAACCACGACGTAATGCAAAATTGCACCACGACGCAAATCAGAGACAACAGGCATAGAGTGGCAACGTGCCGGAAACGGCGGAATGGGGGCTCGAGGACCGCCACCGAACTAAACTCTTGAAGAATGGTGCCGATGTCGTCCGCACAGGCACCCATGGCGCCCACCGAAAGAGAGGGGGGTGGGCGAGCGAGAATGCGGAGGAAGTGGTCGAGTCCGAGAACCCTCAGGGTTTCGCTTAAAGGGCATCCTTGTGCAACGCCAGAACGGATGGGGATCGAGAGCTGGCTCTGACCTCCAACGCGGATCCATCCGACCATCTGGTCATACGTCGCTTGAAAGGCGAGTTCAAATCAAACCGAGGTGTTAAGCCGGCGAAGAACACGACAGAGAAACCTACGGCTGAGGCTGGAGAAGCCAGAGACAAAATCCAAACATATAAAAACTGGCAGATCTCGGTCCGCGTTTGGGTCCAAGGAGGCAATCCTAGCCGCTGCGTCCATCGTCAAAATGTGGCTCGTGAAATTCCGGCCAGAAGTGAAACCATGCTGGGGCCGCTCAGTCCTTGCCTCAGGCACCGATTTAAGCAGATAGTTGATAGCAGACGCAATTGCTTTCGCATCCTGGTTTTTCAAAACTCAGTCGCCGCGTCGCACTGGGAGCGCGGGCGCAGTCGAGCAAGTCGGACCTGCTCGCGTCCGCCGCACCCTTGGGGATAAAGGCGACGAGGCTGTCGTCGATTCCTGCGCTCAGCGCTGCGCCAGAGAACATCCTCTCGAGCAGCGGGTATACATTGTCCGTTGCCATGGTGGAAGGTGGCCGCGCATCCACAGGCAGGCCATCAGGCCCAGGGGCCGCGCGGCGAGCACGGCGGAAAGCGTGTCGGAGCTGCTCCAGGGAAGGCATCTGGAGCGCATGTCATGGTAGGACCAGTCCCTCCATCGCGTCGCTCAGGAAGGAGATGCGTCGCGTAACCATTGCCACTTGCTGCTCGTGCCATTTGCGATTCTGCGTCTCACAGGTGTCCGTGAACTCCTCGGGCAGAAGATGACGCACCCCTTCGCCTGTGACTTGAGAGCGCGGGCGGCCGAGCCCAGCGCGAAGAATAAGCGCGCGAGCAGCCCGTCGATCCCGACGCCAAAAACAACGAGCAATACTGCGCAACGTGAGTCTCTCAGCATCGCTCGAGAGCCGCCCAACGCCATCGGGGAACCGAGAGAGAGAGAGAGAGAGAGAAAAAAAAAGAGAGAGCGTTACAAGCCATGGCTACCGTTTTTTTCTCCATGGGCCGCGTATTCTCTGACACGAGAAGCTCTGGTGGCAGCGCGCACTTGCTAAGCTCCTCCATCATGGCATTGAGAAGGACAGCGTACTGCTTGAATTTGAAAAAAGGTGAAAAGGGATGGTCTGTTCACGCCGTGCACGAGGCTGGCGGGCACGGACTCGGAGATGGACGATAGCCTGATCAGTGAGCAACCAACCCGAGAAATCAGCAGCCTCCCTGTGAATTTCAAGATCGCACATCCACCGTTTCATACATTGACCAGGCAGCGACAGGCAAGCACGATCGACGGTGGTCGCCGCGGAGGAGTCCTTCGCATATCTGGCCAGCTGGTCACTCACAATATCATCCATGCCATCATTGAACATCGCATTCCACTGCGGAAGGTGCTGGCGGCATCGATCTGCGGCGCGTGCATGCCGGGCAGCCTGCGGGCGCAGATAATCAGCAGTGGCCGACGCATTGAGATTGGGATCACCGATTGCCACGAAGGCGAGATGTGCATGGGCTTCATGTGCCCACCGGGAGGGGGCGTGCCAACAATCTGCCATGATATCCAATGACTCACTCGAGAACTCAAACTCATGCATGCTCACGAGCGATAGGGGGCAACCCCACCGAGAATTGCGATTACGAAGAACGCGAGCACGACCCAAAACCAAGACGGTATGATCGAATCTCGGACGTTCGTGATCTGGAGTGGCCTCGAGCACCTCTGCATCAGGCGCAGGCGCAATAATAACCGCCCAACCAGCGCCTGCGAAGGTAGCCCCACAAGCTGATTAGAAGACGTGGTGATTGACCTTGCAGCGCATGAGAGTCTCAAGCAGCAACAGGCGGCTCCTTCGCACTTCCTGAAGCGCGAGCACCGCACGTTGACGCAGAAGAGGAAGAATGTGGCAAAACTTTCAAACAAGAGTACGACGCCTGGTGCATAGCAAAGAGCGGGCATCCAAAGAAACAATATTCAGGCCAGCCTGCGCTCGACGGGGCAATCCAATCTTCCATGGAGACCAGCGTTCGCCAAATATGCCACGCACACACACACACACACTCGCGTCGAGCTGGCCAGCCGGGCTGGCCAACATATTGGCGAACTGTACCTTGTAGCGCTCGTGGTCGATGCTGAATTGCTGGGTGGCCTCTGGGTCCCAATCGATATTGATGGGTTCGTTGGCATCGCTGCCGGTCTTGAGTCCGCGCACTGGCATGGTCTCCGCCACGGTGGTCCCTCGAGCCCGTTGGCAGCGCCATGGAAATTCAGGTCGTGCATCCGTGGGGATACGGTGCAATTTCTCGGCCTGGATCTCGCGACGGGTGTCTTTGGGCGACTTGCCACCACTGAGATGGAGAGGCCTGGGGTTGCGCTCCATGTGCAGCACCGAGAAATCCCTCCACATGCAGCCCATCTTGAGCGCCTTCGTGAGAGCCAACGCGCGTGCGGGCGCCTCAGGACCACCTTCGATCTGGATGCTGAAGCGGCGGTTGGGGGCGCTGGGGCCGACGATGTGCATGCAATATGCAGTTACACCCGCAGCGTGGAACTAATCGGCGACGGCGGCCCGCAGCGCACCCGAGCTGAAGATGCTGGGGGAGCCACACGTGGAGATGGTGGACTCAGCTGCACGGTCCCAGTCTGCCAGTTGCTGGAGGGAACACGGTGGCGTCTCCGCCTCCGCGATTGCGAGCAAGTCCTCCGTCTTCTCGAAGGTTGCCCGCATATTGACCTGACATTGCTGGATCTTGTTGGAGGACGCCTGGCAGACCGCGACGGACCTCTCAAGCTCAAAGTGCTCAAAGTGCTTCGTATGCATCGGCGACATCTCCGTGCGCATGGTGGAGATGAGGCTGGCCAGCAGCGACGTCTGCATTGCTGAGAAAGACGGCTGAACGATGTTGGAGACTGTGGACTCAAGCGCTGACTCCGTGGAAGCGAGCTGAGCTGCAACGATCCGCTGGATAGAATCTTCCAGGCCTCCTGACTGTGGTACGCTCGAGCTGCTTGCCGCCTCTCGACCCGCCCCAGGAGGTGTGTGAATGGGGATGGCCTGCCGCCAGGGCTCACAGCTGGCCATGGGGTTCACCCGCATAGCGGGAGCAGCCACCACTCCAGCGCCAACGTGCAACTCCTGACTTGGGAAGGTGGCGGCCACGTCGCGGTCGGCGACGAAAACAGCAGGGTCACCCATGGCCGCGAGCGTGGCACTGGCGGCAGCGGATCTTGCGGCAGCGGGTCCCTCTTGAGCACGACGGGTCCTGCGGTCGCCACGTGGAGCACCTCCGTGTCCCTGGCGACGTCGACGGCGGCGCCTAGACTCAGGTAGGCTGTCAGCAGCACTGCGACCGCTGCGGCTGTGATCACTCATCATTCTCATCACGCTCAGGTGAGTCTGACCTTGCTCCAGACGTCGGCATGGCATCAGCAGTCGGGGTGGCAGGAACTGGAAACTCCACAATTTACCCGCCAGCGCGACTGCACGAGGTCGTCACGATGCAGGAGAGCAGGAATGCTTCTGTGCGGGGGCCCAGGTCCCGCGGAGAAGGCGGAGAAGACCTGCCAAACTGAACTATTTTACTCGCCTCGGATCAGAGGTCTCCACTCTGGCCCACGGGGGAATCATCGCATTGAGCCAACATGGCTACGGAGGAGAAGGAGGAGAAGGAGGATGAAGGGGAGGAGGAGGACGAAGAGGCGGAGAAAGGGAGAAGGAGGAGGAGGAAGCGGAGGGGGAAGAGGAGGAGGACGAGTAGAAGGCGGAGTGGGGGAGGAGGGCGGGGGAGGAGCGCCGAGTGGGTCGCGTGCTGGATCGCAGGTGGATCAAGATTGGGTCGCAAGTGGGTTGCCAGCTGGGTCGCGACTGGGTCGCAAGCCAGGTCAGAGGCGGGAGGCGGGCACGCAGGTGGGCAGCGGCCAATGTACGCAGGCGGGGCCGCGAGTGGATCGCGGGCCGGGTCGCTGGTGGGTCGCGGGGAAAGCGCCAGAAAGAAGGAGGGGCGAATTAGCGCACTCCTCCCGTTGTCATCGCCCTCTCTCCGTTGAACGCCGAATTTTCTGAGTAGATGTTCGATCGTTCATTTTGAAACAGACTGGCCAGAAGCGACCCTGATCAATGATTCGATTGAGCACGAAATGCGATCTCGTAAAATTTCCATTCAGGCGCGCCAAAAGAGATGCTTGAGGTCCAAAAACCTTACGGTCGGGAACTTTTGCTCAGCGTGTACTGGCGGCGGCCCCGGCGATACGCCACGCTCTTCTAGCGGATAGCGTGTCGCTCCGCACCGCGGGGCGGGGGCTCGCAAAAGCTCTGGGCAATGGCGCTGGGTGTGAATGGGGTTGAAGTACAAGGGTACAGAACCCCTGATCCGTTGGTAGAGGGAAGGAGGGATAGATGGATGTCTTTCCCTCCTGCACGATCAAAGGTCTGATCGATCTGTCCCAATACCTGAGCCCAAACGGCCAGGCGCAGGAGAGGTGAGGATAAGGAGTATATATGAAGGTATTACACGGGTTCTATTCACACACCCCGTCCCGAATCCCGCCCGCATGGTAGGACTCGGGAATAGAGGAAAAGATCCCGTCACCCTTTTACTCCTCTAATCCTCAATTATGTCAGGCAGCTGAACGCAAAATCAGTATAGCCTCAGCTGCAAGGTAAGGTAAGAAGGAACACCCAGGGTCCCGATTTCTTCGCCAAGCACGCTTTGGCGCCCCCTCGGTGCGCCCCCCAAAAACGCTTCGGCACTCGAGGGCGGAGAAGAATGAGACACGGGTGGGCGGAGAAAGAGGATCTGAGCCAGTTAAAGCAACATCAGAAGCTGCCGCGCCTAAGCGGGGCAGGTGGTGCCACCAGCTCTCTGTCGAGAGCTGGGTATCATATCATTCTCAACGCAATGTAAGTAAAGTCTAACGAATAAACGAGAAAAAAATATTCGGAGGTCGTGTTGATGAACATTATCGCGTTTAGAAACACGTTTAAATATCAAAGCAAATGTCTGGCCAGACGCAAAGTCGTGTTGATAAACACGAAAAAGTTGCATATATATAAATTCTGTATTTGGCGACTCCCGTTGGCGTTGCTCCTTAGGGGACTGCTTTGGGTATCGCAAGGATCTGTGTGTGTGTGGCCACTTGTCTTGGATAGTGAAGTGGCCTAAAAGAATATAATAGCCACCGCTCGAGGCGAACTTGTATAATGATGAAGTTCAAGCCTTTCGAGCGGTGGGCCTGGCGGTCGACTCTACTACGCGTTGCCCCTCTCGTAGAACCTGCGGTCCCACATCCTGTGGCCGTCGTGCGACGCGTAGCTCGTCGTGAAGGTCTCCCAAGGCGCCCTCGGGATCCAGTGGCGGAACCACTCATTGTACTGGATGTCGCGGACGTATACGAACTCGCCGTTGTTGTCCGCGATGTATATCCAGCATTTAATGTAGTAGCTCCAGTATCTGGGGCCCCACTGGCTGTCCTCCAGGTCGTCGCGCCACCATCTAGCGTAGTCCTCCGTCGTGCGCGCCCTCTTGGCGCGGGGAGGCGTAGCAGGTCTGCGGCTGTCGTCGCTGTCCTGCCGCTGCGCTGCAGTGCCGCGCGGCCCCGCGGGCATGTAGTCCTGCGCGCCTGAGGCGCTGGGCCCTGCAGCGTCGCCAGGAGCGTGGCGCGGCGGCGGCGGCGGGTGCCGCGGCATGCGTGGCTCCATGGCATCATCAGAGTGTTGGGAGTATGTATCAGGTTCGATCGGATCGCTTCTCATCCCTGAATCAACCCCCCTCTGGTCAGTGGAACCCAAGGCGGGTTCAACATAAGCAAGCGCGGCAAGCTTGCGCTGCGTGACTCTCTCACGGGTGCCATCCCCTCTGGGCAGGGCAATCGTGACAAGTCCGCGCGCCTGCCGCGTGCTTCGGTCGAGTCTGCCTGCGTTCAACCACCACTTCTTCCGACCAGCTTGGCCAGTCCTGATGCTGGTCTCGAGGATTTCACAGGCGCCGCGCATGTCCTCAATGGTATAGGCGTTATTGTCTTTATTGGCACGAGCGCATGTCATTTGGTGGTGGAACTCAAATCATTGAGAAAGCGCTGAATGAGGTTGGCAAAGGGATGGTATAGAGGTCTGTCGTCATCACGCTCGCCCATCAATCTGCACATGTGTGCAGGAGGGGAGCCAGCGGCGACCCACTTCTCATACCTCTTCCTAGCAGCATTTGCCATTCTCCTCAGCACGTCTTTCTCATTGCCTGGAACGGAGCGCTTGCCCATCATGATGACCTGCGCTCCGTCTCTCATGTACCTCGTGATGCCCTCCTGGGAGAGCGTCGTCTTGATCCAGTTGGTCAGCTTCTGGAGGTATGCCAGGTCGCTCTCGACAGCGGTGCTTTTACCCGTGGCACCTACGGCAACGGTGTACTGCCAGCATATGTCACAAACGGTACCTTCATCTGTAACGAGCCCTAGGGATAAGATGCGACCGCAATTCCGACATCGCGCGGTATCATGCTGAATATATTCTGGGGCTCCGTCAATCGTGAGGTGCCCACGAGACCCCAGCGAGTGTCCCGACCACGAGCAAGACTGCGGCAAATCTGATCGATGGCATCGCGGTTGATCTCGGCGGTCGGACGGGAAGCGATCGATCTGCTCATTCCATCGATCTCGATCCTGGACAATCTTTCCCCTGGCAGTCCACCGCGCTCGGTCGTGTCGTTGTCCGCGTCGTCAGTATCACCATGGCATGCGTTTTCTGTACGGATACGGCTAGCCTCTTCCTGCAAGGCGGACTCGTTGTCACCCTCCTCGCGGTTGATTCCCTTCTGTTGGGCTATGATCCGTACCATGGTTTCCTGATCTGGAGCTGCGGATGCAACGCTGCCTGGATCCTGGGGAATGTTCTGCTCCGCGCCTGGGTCACGCGGCGCGGCAGGTGTTTCCACCAGCTCCCTCCATACGGGGAAGCCTGGGTTACCGAATGTCTGGATGCAATGTGTAAATAGATCACGCAACGTCTTGAGTGCAGGATGGTTCTGATGAATAGCATCTTTTCTGAAATCACGAAGCTCAGCAATACTGTCCAGCCGTATTATTTGATACACTTTAGAGATCCATTGGAAGACGCCTGTAGTCGATTCCTCAATGACCTCTGGGCCCAGATCGTGTACCAACTTTTTGAAGAAGCTATCTGCACTGCAAATCGGTAAGTCACGTGCCCATTTGTGGGTATGCTTGTAATCAAAATAGTATGTCTCCGCGCTCCATGTTTTGGATCCAAATAGAATCCCAGATCGAAAGTATGACTGTGCTTTACCCGCCACAATCTTATCAGCGCCCGTGTGCACCTCAATGACTTGTTTCACCTTTATCATAGGTGAGTCCACCAACAACTCCGATGCCCAGCGGTATATGCGGTGGTCATATGATTGCTTGATCCACTTTGAGTCCTCCTCTGGGTCGTAGTCGGGGTGGTTGAGGGAGTCCTCTGGAGGGTCGATACTATTGTCGAGGATGCTCGCGTCGACGTGCTCATCTGCCTGGATCTCTGCTGATAAATCTGATCTCATGTTTTCATTTGCTGCTTTCTCTTCGGCAGTGAGTGGGATGTTTGATATATCCACAATGACGGTAACCAGAGGGTCAGCAGATTGGCCTGCCTTTTGTTGGGGTCCATCGTCCGCGGGAGCAGTATCCTCGGCAGGTGTGGCCACCAGCTATTCGGGATCGGGTGTCCGAGGAGCGGGCCGTCTGGTCGGCGCACGTGGGATACGTGGCTTATAAATGCTCGGCATTCCGAGATATGGTAGATCACCATCTGTTTTATGCTGATGTATTTTGTCGCGGCATGAGGATGGTCCTTCCAGCGCAATATTCATATCTCTCGGGTCGATGTCGGCACGTACTGGCAAAGCAAAGACAACGCCCTTGAGAGGCATGCTTTTGTCGTTGTACCATATGTTTACCCATCGTAAACCGTAGTTGAGGATAGGTATTTGTAC